TAACAAATAGGAAATCTGAGTAATATTTAGTTATATCACATGTACTCTACAGCATAATACCTATAATTAAAATTTTTGATTTATATCATTTTCATCATGTTGAACAATTTTTGCCACTCTAGTTTTCATCTGATACTGAATTGATTGATGTTAGGCTATCAATGAAAACCTGGAAACATCGGACGGCTATTTCGTCCTATTGTCGGACTCCTCAGGAGTGAGTATCCTATGATCCCTCTTGCAAGATTAAAATCCAGGAACTTCGGTCTGGCACCCGAACGATTAATCTTTGGACCACTGAGCTGGCATTCAAAGGTGTTATTTTTTAACTCTCAACTATTAAAACTTGAACAAATGATGATTTGAACAGCAATTAAACTCTTCTTCTTCATCCTCTGTTTTGGTCAAATTTTGGTCAAAATAGGTCATTTTCTTATTTGTGATATAAACTCACTTCATTCCGGAAAAAAATTTTTTTTGAATGAATATATTATGTACTATTTCTGAATAAAATAAAAATGAAATGAATTGAAAGTAAAGCTGAATAGTGGCTCGCAGTGGAGTCCAGGACGCGGGTTTCGTACTATTTCGAACACATCATCTGCATGTACCTGCATCTCAGAGTTGATGTTCACTGCGGAACTCGAACTCAATACCCTACGCTTTAGGCGTAATCACGTTATCCACTTAGCTACTGAGTCTTGATAGTCACCTACTTGTGTAATGGGATGAAGTTTTAAATCTACTTAGTATTATTTACTTGTGTCTTCCTATTGTTATTTACAATTACAATTGATCAGTCTCTTATTGGCATATGTGCATACTATGTGTATTGCTTCGATATTGCTAAGTGGATAAAGCAATCGCGTTTGAAGCGAACTTTACTGGGTTTGAGTTTCAGAGTGAATATCAACTCTGAGATACACGTAAATCCAGCTGACGAGTCCGAAATAGGACGAAACCCACGTCCTCTATTCCACTGCTAACCACTATCCATCTTTGCTTAAATTCTATATTCAAAATAAATATATACCATCTATATCTTTTCTTCTTATCAATTCTAAACACCGATTGTTTGTTTATTTCTTTTTGCTTTATTCGATATCTCTCCTTCATTATTTCTACATTCAATTGAATGACAGTCAACAGGATGAACACTTTTTTTTTCTGATTTGATCTAATACATCAAATCAATTTGACTTGACTTTTGATCGTAATTGTATATTCAGACATTTTCATTAGAGCCCCCATCCCCCCTACCACCCCCCAAAATGGTAAGGTATGATTACATAATTCTATTTGTGTAAATTTAATCAGTCTTGGTTGTAATATTGCAGTATCCAATGAGAATTACAAATTATATTAGAATTCATATTTGTTACACAAATGAATGTGTATATGAGTATCTAAGTAGATAATGAGTTGGTTATCTTCAGTGAAATGTTTTAGTGAATATCAATACTGAGATGAAGGTACATCTGGCTGACAATGGATTGCTCCTGGATCCTAATAATAGAAGCCTTCAATCTCTCTCTCTCTCTCTCTCTATATATATATATATATATATATATATATATATATATATATATATATATATATATATATATATATATATGAATCAATTAAAGATAGGTCAACATGGAAAACCTGGAAGCATTGGACAGCCGTTACATTCCAGTAGATGACTCCTAAGCTATGCGTATCTATGACTACACCCGCTGGATTCGAACCCAGGACCTATCAGTCTCGCACGTGAAAGCTTAACCTCAAGATCACTGAGCCGGAATCCACTGGTACTAATGTCTAACTCCAACCAATCTATTTACAGTTTTCAATATTAGTGATCGATTTTCTACAGACTATCTATTTACAAAAACTGTTTTCTGAATGACTAGAAACTGGCTGAACATTTGTCACAGATGTTTTGTCTCTTTACAATCTTGTAATGTCTAGTACAATGTCAAGTTGACATGGGTTATTCCACCTTCTGGACAGACCAATTTATCCAATTTTATCCATGTCACCTTCCGACCTTATTAATTATTTGCTTATTATATCTGAATGTTTCTATGTATATCACTTAACCTATTCGTTACGTGTCTATAGCTTATTATTATCTGATTATAAATAATAAATTACGCTTTATCAAAACGCATTGGTTCACTCGTATTCTCTATTACACGTCACTTCGTTTTGTCTCACTTCACCTTCTAGGAATTACTATCGCTTTACTTTGCTTTCTCGCTTCTTATTCTAAATGTTTGTCTGGATAAACAAAATGCTTGAAATAAATCCCTCCAACTCAACCCCTATTTAGTTTCTTATTATCTTTTTCACACAAACCAAGTTAGATTTGGTGTAATATACAAAGGTAAATGGAAGATCTATGTTCATAGTATATTCATACATCCATTGAAATCTGGAGTCAAATACATGACCTACAAAAATAGGCAACCAGATTATATCACATTTCAAGGCTTATTGATCATTGATAATTATGAATATGAGACATCAGTGAAAAATGATTATTCCATAAGGCTTAGAATAATTTTCATTTATTTCCGTTACTTTATTGATTTTGTTGTCATAAACGTTTAGGATAAAATGTTATATCCCAATGAGAATAATCAATGGTAACTATTAGGATCCATTTATGAACCAATACTATGCGTATATGTTTTATAGTATAATTGTTAAGTAAATAACCTGTTTATATTGGTGTTCTTATTATTATAAGCTTTATTCTGATCTATGAGCTATTATTATTACCATTTACCATTCTTGATTTATACCCTTACTTACTTACTTACGCCTGTTACTCCCAATGGAGCATAGGCCGCCGACCAGCATTCTACAACCCACTCTGTCCTGGGCCTTCTTTTCTAGTTCCATCCAATTCTTATTCATTTTTCTTATGTCTATCTCCATTTCTCAGCGTAATGTGTTCTTTGGTCTTCTTCTCCTCTTTCGACCTTGAGGATTCCATGTGAGGGCTTTTCTTGTGACGCAGTTCTGTGCTTTCCTCAGTGTGTGTCCTATCAACTTCCAACACTTCTTCCTGATTTCTTCCTCCACTGGGATCTGATTTGTTCTCTCCCACAGTAGGTTATTGCTAATAGTGTCCGACCAACGGATCTGAAGTATTTTGCGTAGACAACTGTTAATGAACACCTGTATCTTTTGGACGATGGATTTCGTAGTTTTCCAGGTTTCGCCCCATACAGTAGAACTGTCTTCACATTTGTGTTGAAAATTCTGACTTTGGTGTTGGTTGCTAATTGTTTTGAGTTCCAGATGTTCTTCAGTTGTAAATATGCTGCTCTTGCTTTGCCAATCCGTGCCTTCACATCTGCATCAGATCCACCGTGTTCATCGAAGATACTGCCCAAATATGTAAAGGTTTTTGGTTAAATCTTGTACAAATGTTATTTTCTAGTTTATGGTACGATGTGGTCTGTTTGGCTGGTGTATATAAACCCAGTATTAGATGGTGGTTGGAGATAGTCAACAGGAAACCCTGGACCCGGTTTTCGTGCTACTTAGCACTTGTGAGCAAGATGTACCTGTAATCTTGAGGGATCTGATGCTCCCTGATCCCGTGCCTCGATCTGTGTCACCCAGCTTCACAGTCAGAGATGTTACCACTTAGCTATCCGGGTCGCAATCAACCCCCTGTAGTACTGAGATGTAATCACAATTGATTGATCAGTTGGTGGTGATCAATTTTATATGTGTTAAGTCCTTCTTAGTGCAGATCCATAGCATTCGATCAAGCAATTGTGATAAACGTAGTATGTTTGAAATAAATGATTCATATCACAGAGGGTAAGATTGATATTCTGGACTGAACAGGCATAGCTAGGTAGGAAGAAGGACCGATAAACACTCTAAACTGCTCTTAGCGGTCTCATGTATCATTGGTTTGATCGGTAATTCACTATTCTCTAATTGTCGTTATCATTACATTATAAATTGATAGAGGCATAAAACCATATAAAACAAAAAAGGTTCTCTCCATTTAAATTTCACTAGTTGAAATCATGAGTCAACTGAAGCTAGATCACCATGGAAAATCTGAAAGCAGTGGATGGTCGTTTCGTTCTAGTACGGTACTCCTCAGCAGTGCGCATCCACGATCACGCCCGCCTCCCGCGACGTTCGAACCCAGGACCTATCGGTCTCGCGCTCGAGCGCTTAACCATTAGACTACTGAGGTGGTATCCAACAGTGTTAATGTCTAACTTCAACCAATTCACGAAATTTCGCTACCATACACCATTGTTTTCAGTGAGTTGATATCTCACAACAGACCTGGTTAAACTATACTGATCACTGTTTCTCACTAGAACTTCAGGAAATGTCTCTTGAAGTTAGTCACTAGTGAGCATATGATGATTATTATCAGAAAGGGTTTTGTGAAGATTTTTAGAAATTTCACTAGCTGAAATCATAATTCAATTGAAGGTAGACAACCACCATGGAAAACCTGGAAACACCGCTGAACAGTCTCATCCTAGAACAAAACGGCCGTCCAATACTTTCAAGTTTTCCATGATGGTCTAGCTTCAATTAACTCATGATCTCAACTAATGAAATTTCTAAAATCTCCATATAACCCCTTCCTATGTACAATTGTTGTATAATTAGATGGTGATTGAAGGTAGTCGACAGGATACCCTAGGCCCGGGTTTCGTGCTACTTGGCACTCGTTAGCAAGGTGTACCTGTAATCTTTAAGGGAACTGGTGCTCCCTGGCGGATTCGATCTCGTGTCACCCAGCTTCACAGTCAAAGACTGGTGGCTACATTGCAATGTGATCAATAGCATTCGATCTGCACTAATAATAAGGACTAGACATGCATGACATTGGTCACCACCCAGTGATCAATCAATTGTGATTACAATTGTTGTATATAAGCATTAGCATAGGACAAGAAGGATAGTATCTTATCATATTCAACGAATAACATTTATAACATTATACTGAACAAGAAGATAAATTAGCTTCATCGAATATACTTGAATATAAAATTACATAATTTCTTGATAAAATCTCAGGATCATACAGTTCAAATATTAATCCATCCTCTTGGATTTTATTGTTCTATTTGTTTGCATAGTAATCTTTTTTTTTCTTTGATCATCTTCATCTTATGTTATTGAACATTTCATTTTCTATTGATGATATATACATATATACTACTTATATTGATCGATATCAGTAGTACATATCACCGTTTTGATATGATGTAATTCACTATCATGATTAATTCCCCCCTCTTGTATTCATTAATTCATGGACAGGATCATATTTATATCTTCGTGTTATTGGTAATTTATTATAATGATCCATTGATTGTTGTTGTTGTTGTGGTAGTTGTTGCTGTGGTAGTTGTTGCTGTGGTAATTCATAATTATTTATATTCCCTTTATATAATTCAATAATTTTTATAAATGCTTGTCTAAATGTACGATTATAATATGCATATATAATAGGATTAATAGATGAATTAAAATAACCAATCCAATATAATATCTCTTGTAATTCATTTGGATATTGACATTGTTTACATAAATTAGTTATGGTATACCATAAAAAAAATGGTAACCAACATAATAAAAATGCACCCATTACAATACCAAGTGTATGTGCTGCTTTATTTTCATAATGTATTTTAATATGAGATTGATATTGTTCATTTAAATGATGTAATTTTGATGATAAGGATAACGAAGAGGGAGAGGAAGGGGAAGTGGAGGAGGAGGAGGAGGAGGAGGAGGCGGAAGAGGAGATTGATGATCGATTCATTGTACGATTAATAATTGGAATTGAATTGATTTTATTATGATTATGATTATGATTAGGATGATTGATTTGTTGCATTACAATTGTATTATTTATTTGTGATATATAGGGTGTATATAATTGAGCAATTTTTCTTTCTTGTTTTCTAGCTTCAATAAATATACGTATATAAACTAATATCATTATAATAGATGGTATCCAAAATGATATAGATGATGATATAATAGCATAATATGGATTAACATTAAAATTACATTTAAATGAATCCTCATGATTAGCATCCTGATCAGGATCATGATCAGGATCATGATCATGTTGAATATTTTCTTTTATTATAGATATACTACTTATATTCATTTGTATTGATGATCTATTCGTTATATTATAATATAATGGTTTATGTAATTCCATGAATATAGGTATATATGATATAATAAATGATAATGTCCATATAATACATAATAATAAAATAATATATTTTTTAGACATTTTTTTTTGATAATTTAATGGATATAATATAGCGATATAACGTTCCATTGAAATACAACATAAATGTAATATACTACTTGTACTAAATAATACATCAGTAGCATTATAAAAATTACATAAAAATTTACCAAATATCCATTTATAATTTAATAATGACATGATAGCATTTAATGGCATAACAAATAATGCTACAATAAAATCCGCTATAGATAATGATAATATAAATATATTTGTATGTATCATTCTTAATTGTTTATATTTTATATAAGATATAAATACTAATCCATTACCAAATAATGCTGAAATTATAATTAAACTATAGAGAATAATTTTAATAAATAAAATAATTTTATATAAAATATCATAAAATGAATTATTGATATGAAATGTTGTATTAATAATAATATCATTACTAATATAAGTAGTATTAGTAGTAGTAGTATTAGTAGTAGTAGTAGTAGTATAAGTATTAGTAGTATTACTATGGTTAGTAGTATTATTATAATGATTACTGTTGCTATGGCTATTGTTGTTGTTGTTGTTGTGAAGGTGGTGGAGGTGGTGGTGGTGGTGGTAGTGGTGGTAGTGGTGGTGGTGTTGTTGTTGTTGATATAAAGAATGAATAATTTTTAATGTATTCAATTGAAATTCAGTAAATAACATTCGATTAAATTATAATTAAATGATTTTATCAATAAATAAAGATTGTAGAAGAAAAAAAAATACGTTTATTGATTATTATTATTTATTGGATTTTATACCTGTATGAAAGAAAGAAGAAAAAAAAAACAAAAAGAAAGTAAACAATAATAATAAAATAGAAAATATACTATTTCCTTTCACATTTAGTCGATATGATCTTCCTCTGATTTTTTCTCTTTCTCTCTTCTGATGATCGACTGGATCATGAAGATTTCAACATCTGAAAGGAAGCATGAGATAGAGTGAACATCTGGGATGTAGTTGAATGATCTACACTTCGCAGATGATCTGGCTCTGGCTAGTCTATCGCAAACGCAACAATAAATGCAAGAGAAGATGATCAGTGTAGCAACAGACTCAGTACCACTAGGTTTCAATATACACAACAGGGAAAAGCAAGATTCGCTGATACAGCACAACATGCAATAATCCAATCACAATTGACGGAAATTTGGAAGATGTAAAAACTATTACATATTTGGGCAGCATCATTGATGAACACAGTGGATCTGTTACAGATATGTAAGCATGGTTCGTAAAAGCAAGAGGAGCATATTTACAACTGAAGAACATCTAGAACTCAAAACAATTGTCAACTAACACTAAAGTCACAATTTCCAATACAAATGTCAACACAGTTCTATTGTATGGGATGGAAACTTGAAAAACTGAGAAAACACATCATCCAAAAGATATGTGTTTATTAACAGTTGTCTACGCAAAATACTTCGGATCAGCTGGCCGGACACTACTGGCAACAAGCTACTATAGTAGAGAACAAACCAAATTGTAGCGGAGGAAGAAATCAGAAAGAAACGCTGGAAGTGGATAGGACACACATTGAGGAAAGCACCCTACTGTATCACAAGACAAGCCCTCACATGAAATCCTCAAGGCCGAAGGAGGAGAGGAAGACCAAAGAACACATTACGCCGAGAAATGGAGATAGACATGAGAAAAATGAATAAGAATTGGATGGAACTAGAAAAGAACGCCCAGGACAGAGTGGGTTGTAGAATGGTGGTCGGCGGCCTATGCTTCATTAGGAGTAACAGGTGTAAGTAAGTAAGTAATGGATAATATAGTAAATTTATTAGTTCAGATCATGAGTGAAATAAAATTAGGTGATCATAGAAAATCTGGAAGGATTAGACGGTTGTTTTGTCCTAGTGTGGGATTTTTCAGTAGTGTGCATCGACGATTCCGTCTTGAGTGATTTAAACCTATAGTTTATCGGTCTCGCACATAGACGCTTATCTATAAAGATCATTGAGTCGACATCCAACTGTGTTCATGTATAACTTTAACTAATCAATGAATATGTGCGACACATTCACTATTGTTTTTCAATGAGTTAAAATCTTACAACAGATCTGGTTAAATTCCAATGATCACTGCTTCTCACTAGAACATAATAGAACATTTGATAAGTACATTTGAAAGAATTAAGCTCAAAGAAGCGATTAGTGATAATGATACATTGTTAGAAGTATATTGATGATACCTTCAACGTATGTAATAATCAATAAACTTTAGTAAATCTGCTGAAACTTTTCAACGAAGCTATACTATACATATTCATGTTCCTCCTATTATAATCTATATTTTGACTCATAGACTATTATTATTACCATTTATCATTGTTGAGTTATGCCCAGTTTATTAATTACAATCTTCCACATTCATAACCACTTTTGGCTTGATCATATGTAAATGTCATCTACTATTTTGTGATAAGATTTGGTCTGTCTGGTTAGTATAAAAACCAAGTATGTTTGAAATACATGATTTATATAGTAAAGGCCCAGATTTGTATTGCAGACGTCACAAGTAGAGTTAGACAGGAAGAAGAACCGATAACGACTCTAGACTACTCTTACGGTTTTTATGCATCATTGGTCCGATCGATAATTCACTGATCTCTAATTCGCGGTATCATTAATAGGGGCACATGGTCACAAGTTATAACAGTTCGAATGCTACATTGAACTACTTCCATGCTCTAAAGAAACAAGAACTAAAGATTATTTCATATGAAGATCATTATTGACGATATCAATTACGGTTGTACTTTCTTCCTTTACAACAATAAGCATTAACATTCATTCATAATAAGATTGTTTGATTGATAAATGAAATACATAAACGTGTATACACTGATTATGTGATTCACTGGATTCATATATTCATACCAAATACTAATTATACTATCACGTATTCAATCATAAGATAGTTTCACGTATCATTTCGTTGAATAAGTGTGATCACCTAGTGAAGATCCAATTACAGATAACTTCTAAGAACTATTAATGGAATAATATTATCCAGATATATATACTTATGGTATAACTATTCAGTAACTAGATTGTATATATCCATATCCCCCTTATTATAAGATTCATTTTGACTGATAGATTAATTATGATTTCATTTACTGTTCCTAAGTTATGTCTGCTTTATTGATTACAGTCTCCCACAATCACAACTACTTTGTGACTTGATCTTGTATAAATGTTATTTCCTATTTTATGGTGTGATGGAATCTGTTTGGCTGGTATATAAACCAATTATGTTTGAAATAAAAGATTTGTATAGTAGAAGATGGTGTTGGTGTTCTGAACTTAACTGGATGAGCTAGGCAAAAAGAAAGGATCAATAAGGAAGCTTGGTTGCTCATACCAACCGAACGTCATTGCTTTCACATAGTATTTTGATTGACGAATAAATCACATGGTAACAAGTCGAAATTAAAGTCACAATAATTCTTACTTAACACTTCATTTACATTTAATGGAACATCCGATAAGTACACTTGAAAGAATCAAGCTCAAAGAAGTGATTAGTGAGAATGATGTATCATTCGAAATATCTTGATCACACCTTTATCATACGATCAAAGTATAATAACATGCCAGAAATCTTCTGAAACATTTCAACGAAGTCCATTAAAAAAATATTCAGTTTTCAATATGGAATATGGAAATCAAACCAACTTCCATTTTGTCGATATAACAATAAAACAAAAGAAGATTGTCATGGTTCAATGTTCAGTTTATAAGAAAAAGGAAGTGAATTTATATCAATTTCAATAATGTTTGTTCACTTAGTTACAAAAAAAAGAGCAATAATTCAAATACGATTTAACAGAATAGACAGAATATGTACTGACGACATATTAAAAGAGGAACTAATGAATGTGAAAAGGACAAGGGAATCCTACAAACCTACAGCGAGAAATATGAAAAACGGGGAAGATAAAAAAAAACTGGAAGAAACTATAATAACCAAGATACGTATTTTTATTCAATTGAAGTTTAAAGGTGATGGATGTGACAGGGTCAATCAATATAAAACTAAAATCTTCATTGACAAGAACCTATCCTACAGTTAAACTGATTATCTTGTCCAAAACAACATCTACTTAAACGTAATCAAACAACGATAAATATCCTTTTTATGTTACCATTAACTGTATATACAAATATATCTGCCAAAGCAGTTACATTGATAGAACCGAAAGGAAAACCTACATCGGATTCAAAGAACATATTTCAAAACAATTACAGACGAATGGATTATGAGCATTCAACAGCGCTATATCAAGACATCTCTTTAATAAAGGGCATCAAATGGATACACTGAAATCTTTCAAGGTGATTAATAAACACCGTATCATTATTCTTCTGAAATTCGCAAAAAAAGCAATAACAATCTAACATCTGAAACTAGACCTATGTGTCCGAACATAAGCAGTAATGAATCTTTCTTTGCCCTGGTAAAATGACAACCTTTTGATTGATATCATTCATTATTTTAACTCTTTCTTAAGTTCTGATTACATCATTATCACATTTCTTTAAACTATAATTGATTTCTTTTAACTTATATTTCAATGGTTAAGATCATGAGTCAGTTGATGCTAGACCACCACCATGGAAAACCTGGAAGCACTGGACGGCCGAAACGTCCTATTGTGGGACTCCGCAGCAATGAGCATCCACGACCTCGCCTTTTGCAAGATTTGAACCCAGGATCTACTAGTTTCGCGCGCGAGCATATGCTCACTATTGACTAGCTTCAAGAGGTATATCCTGGAGTTCTAATGAGAAGTAGTGACCAGTGGAGTTCAACCGGGTCAGTTGTGAGATAGTAACTCAATGGATGTGTCGCTCAATTGTGTGGATTAGTTGAAGTTAAACATTAACATCGTTGGATGTCGAACAGTTCAGTGGTCTAGTGGTTAAGTATTCGCGTGAGAAACCAGTACGCCTGGGTTCGGATCGCGCAAGGAGGGATCATGAATACGCGCTGCTGAGGAGTCCCGCAATAAGACGAAACAGCCGTCCAGTGCTTCCAGGTTTTTCATGGTGGCCTCGCTTCAATTAAATCATGATTTCAACAATTGAAATTACTAACATCTCCACAAAACCCCTTTCAGATTATAATCAGTTATGAATAAAAAACAAACTTTTAAACAGTCCTGATTATCATCAACGTAACAACTCGAATCCTTTTTTTAACAGTAATATTAACATCATAACTTTTGAATAAATTAAAAATGATCTGAATTCAGTACCTCAGTGAATAAAGTATTTTTGTTCAAGACATAGGATACTACATTTGAGTTCTAATATGAATATTATCACTAAGACACAGGTTAGTTCAGTTGAAGAATAGTAAAGAGGAAGTAACATGCATCTTAAACTCTATTATTAGCCGTAATCTATATATGTTTTTTTTCATGTCATAGCTTGTACACTTTTGTAGTGATTCTTATTCCATTACAAAAACTTACCTGTTAAGTCGGTTTTCCGAGAACTGCAACAGAACCTCCGGAGGCCCTGAAGGAGCCGAAGAGTCTTAGCCAATCAGAGCACGATGGAGCTTTCTAGAATGCTAACGTGGCATGCTACTATTGGTCAGTAGCATAATATGTCTTTTAGCGGATTGGCCAAGATATG